AGTTTTCTCATGTTAAGCTCCCTGAAACCACCCTCATAACTCCGTTCAGAGGAACGCTCGGCAAATTTGGAAAGCAGATTTGAACTTAGCATCCAAAACACGTCTAGCAGTGTAGGTCTCATTTCAAATGGCCACTTCGACTTGGGATCCTTCCCTTAAAAGCTAACAATGAGTTATGAATTTTCGATCTTAGCCTCGACCACCTTAGTGCAAATCCCGCACACTTAAGGGATTTGGCCTCATTTCTGATATAATCTCTAACCACTCACTTCTCACTTACAACCACTTATAAAACGTTTTTGAACTGAGTTATGAATTTTCTCAAAAAGGGCCTAACATTTGAATGCACGCCCTGCCCATTAAGGCCAGAGCTTCGGCATGTTTACGTATTAACAGCACGCAGAACGCCTTACTTACTCCGTTTATTTTTCTTCTTGCCTCCACACCTTTGCTTAATCGAATCATAAACTTATGTGGTAAGCACTGCCCACTGCGAGAACGCCCCGCTCACTGTCGGCGAGTCTCCTTCACTTGTTGACTTATCTCTCATTTTCGCCCATTTTTTCCTGGCGGCTGGACTGCTGTGAAACCTAATTCGGATGTCTTGCCCAAGTCACCGCCTACTCTCGTGCACATTCCGCTCCCTGTAGGCGGGGTTCCACTGAGCTCATATATGCTCTGTCGGTCTTGTTCTATGATCAACCCATCCCAAACTTGTTCCGACATCTGCTGGTGCTTCTTGAGGCAATATCGAATTTTCGTACGAACTAACAGACAAGAAATGCCTCAAGATACCTGATGGATCTGAGAATCCTAATTCCGAGTTCTGCTTGTCAGACAATGGCAAACGATAATTCCTCATAAACTCCAGTTTCACAGGAAAGAAATCTGTCCTCACTGTTGTTATCATTAGCCTGAAAATATTTTTGAAATTCTTAGTGAAAAACAATTAGGATAAAAGATTCAGAATCCAAATAACGAGTTCCCTTTCATCCTAATTATTTAAATTCACTTTAATGAATTTATCACTCTGTGAATTGCATTGACCGCGAGTGGCTGGTCGGTCGTGTGCTCTCTAGGAACGCATTAACTAGCTAGGTATTTACTGTTTTCTTCTCATCAACCTCGGTCATGCCTCGCGCTGCTCGTGACTCAGCCAAAACTCAATCGAACTCTTTTAGTGGAATGGGAAATACTGTTTTGGATGGTGATAATCTCAGGATAGTCGACTTTTCGACTTGTTCTGCCTCCACCAATCAAAAAGTATCGTCGCTAGGAATACTGATCCTGTAATCAATAAGATGCTCATCGCACCTAAGGACAAACTCTATAGTGAAGTGCTTGGTGCAGTGAGTGAAGACAAACGTAGGTAATTTCGGGGTTGCCCGTGATGAATACCAACATGAAGTTGTCCGAAAAACCAAGAGAATTGGAAAACAGAATTGTGACGTGGTAGAGTATTCTGTCTCTAGAAGGGTCTCTGAAGGTAGAATGCAGGGCTGTTGAAACCTACCGAATGGGGAAGTCAGCGAGCTACGTCCACGCTTAGTCAAAGTTTTGTTGCTTCCCAAAATACACTGGATTAACGCCTTATCTAACGCTCGCCTTCTGCGCTCTTCGAGCTACTCAGGCGTCTTTGTACGTAAGAGCATTTCGGGGAACGGGCAAACAGCCATCAACCAACCGCAAGCTTGAGATGTTTTCTTCTTAAGGCACGATGCCTCACGGTTAAATTTCGTCATCTTCATCATTTCTCATCTTTTCAAAAATCGGACTTTGTTTTCACCACTGAAACTTGGCTAAACCAGAATATTAAAGATTCCGAAATTATTAGTGGCCTTCCTTACACCATCATGAGGCCTGATCGCGGGAGTCAGTATTTGTGTCCAATTGTAATTACTTCGCACCTTCCTCGTCCATCCACCACTCGCCTGAGGGGTGACCTCCCTAAACTGGTTGGCTGGTGACCTTTCTGGCAGTCTCAGTGTACTGATATTGATGTTATGGATTGAAGTCTTTATTACTGTGTTATTATCATAATTGTATAATATTTAGCTGCCCCTAGGGTTTCGGAAAACGTAAGGTTTTGGTTCACAGGGCTCATAGTGCTTGCGGGTGCTGAATGTAAATAAAATGAATTCGGAGCTACAGCACTCGAGGGAACAGAAAGGGGAGGGAGGTGCAAGGGGTGCAGGTACATGAATCAGAGGTGGTACAGTGTGTTGTGGTGGGCTAGCTAAATATAGCGATTCGTAGAAATAAGAGGAAGCAACAGGAGCAGCTAATCATGAGTTGAACCCGGAGAAGGCGCTGCGGTTGAATTCGGAGTAGTACAAGTCAGACATCGTGCTCAATGCGATGACAAACACAGTACAGAGGTGATTTATGATGCTTTCATCCACATGTTTAAATATAATACCTTCGAGTGACCTACTGGCGGTGTCCAAAAAAAGTGATACAAAGTTTAAAGAACGTGAAAGGTCACTCTATTAACTAGTTTGCCTGCAGGCGTCTTGTGAGAATGAATGCTGAATGCTTACACAATGCGATGAATTTTTTCCCTTTTATATGATGTTTCCATTGGTTATTTTACCTTCCACACCTTCTTTTGTTTTATTATTTATTCGTTTTATATTTTTTGTTTTGCTTTATTTTATTTCTCATGCTTTGAATGTAACGAAGTTTCTCACTCACACGATCGATATTGTTAGAGGTGAGGCTAGTTGTCTGACAGAGAGGTCACCAGCCAACCAATTAAGGGAGGTCTCCCCTCAGGCGGGTAAGTGGATGGGCGAGGAAGGTGTGAAGTAATTACAATTGGACACAAATTGACTCACCCTTTTTACCACTGAAACTTGGCTAAACGAGAATATTAATGATTCCGAAATTATTAGTGGCTTTCCCTACACCATCATGAGGCCTGAACGCCAATCTGGAAGAGGTTTAATTGAAGAGTCTCTTTGTTATAGTCAGAATTTGTTCGGGATCGTTACCAAGTTTGATTATCTCTGTTTTGATTATTTGTATGAGCCTTCCTTTGGGTAGACTCGATTCATCCTAGTGTATACAACCCAACTCTTGCTATGATGACGATAGAAAACTGCTAGACTTTTCAGCTATAATGCGTTCGTCTCCTGCTCATTTGATAATTCTCGGCGATTTCAACTTAGATATTGATTGGAAACAGGGTAAGCTGAAAAATACGACCGCAGCTCGTTCTGCTGATTCCTTCAGAGGCAACGATTTGAAACAGATTGTTGATGAGCCTACGTGACAAGATGCTATGTTGCATATTAT